ACTCATCTAGTTTAGGTGCGATGACAGTTTAGTAGCCTGCATTGGATTAACTGTTTAACCCAAATAAATAATGGTGAGTTTGCCCCTAAGAATTAAAAAATCGAGAGAGGGCGCCAAAGACGTTTGGCAATTATACAATTCGTAGCGCTCAAAACGAGCATTAAATGTGACTCAAATAATGCGCAAGATTTAACTTGTTTATCAAAAAAAACCCCCAAGAAGAGAAGTGTAGCACTCGAATTCAGAAATTTTATAGCAAACGTATATATTATAATTAGCGAGTGTTTCACTATTAATTACAATGTTCAACTAAATTTTCAAATTTTATCTATGGGGTATTTTAATAGAGGCCAAACCCTAAATTACTAAAAAGATAAGTAATTCAATAAGATATGAATTCCTCAATTTATGACATATAAATATACTATCGAGTAGAGTGGAGAAACTCTTAAGTGGCAAAATTTCATCTCATGTGGTTGATATTGTAAATCCTAGATTTACTCTGAGGACAGAAAATATGGGATGTACCACAAAAAATAACCTTAAAACCTGCCAAACATCCAAATACAAATCATGGACAAAGTTTATGGATTAAAAAAATAGAAACTGGTAGGAGATATTTTGCTTTCTATTCTGAAGCATATATAGCAGAGTATTTTGCTTGTTTATGAAAACTTATCTCGTTTGTGATTAAGGTGTTTTTTTTGGGCGTAATCTAAGGTCGTGTTCGTCCTATTAAAATAAGTGATAAAGTTGTTGAATTCTAGGATGGGATTTTGTAATTAAATGTGATCCTCTAGATGTGTGAATTCAAGTGCAATTTATGAAATTATATTTTCCATAATTGAATTTCAAGATTCAGATTATGCATCAGAGAAAGTCTAAAAATGGGATATCTGGGCGGAATTAAAGTCGTTTTGGCTGGTGCAATTGTTACAAAAACAACTATATATGTTTTATAGGACTTGATCTTAATTCTATATTAACCAACTTACCTCCTATCAGTTATTATTAAAGCTTCATAGTATGTAAGTTATGAGATGCCACATTTTAATAGTATTTTATCTCACTTGATTTTAAACGAGTTCAAAATATAAGGGGTACACTTATAAACTAAAAGTTACAATTGGAACTGTGTGAAGGGGTTAAGGCTTGGATTTAGATGTTATACACAGAAGCCAGGGTGATTGTTAAAAGACCCATTTTAAAAGTTTTGTGTATATATTTTACATGAATTACCCATAAGCAAAGACGCACTTGGAAATTAATTTTTTCATGAAAAAATTACTATTCCATGTTCTTAGTATTTTAATTGCTTAAAATACACTAAATAACAGAATCGTCTTTTGCAAAATGCGCTATATGATGCTAAGCCTTCATAGTGTTTTAATCTTCATTGAGAGCGACTGTTTAGCTCTTTACTGGTCCATTTTAATCTCATTGATTTAGGGCTGTCAGCTCGAGACTCATCAAAGTGTGAGGGTTAAATTGTCGAGAGAACAATTTTTAAGATGACATAACAATTACCTAATTATTTGCGAGTCTCAAGAAGCAAATAAAAAATTAGAAATATAAGAAACAGAAATATATGAATTCTTCATAGATAGAGAAGTCGTTTTAACCTGATCTGATACTTTTTCTTTGTTTGTACACAATGTTTTATAATTTTTACATTTTTTATTATTTGAAATTACTTAGTCATCATTATATGATAAGCGCTGATCTATTACTTTCCTTGTTTTTAGCATAATATTTACAAAAATTAATTTTTTTTCTTTATTATTTAATTCCATCATTTTATCATCATATGTTGCTTGAACTTTATCTAAACAGTTTTAGTTAAACTCTAACTGTGTTTATTAGAATAAATCAAAATTTTTTAATTCAAAAAAAAATAAATTCACTAACACTGCAAACAAAATTTTTTTAAAAAGAATTCTCGAATCTTACTCAAAGAAACTAAAATACAAATACTTATCATGCATTTCTTGTTTGTTTTATAGCTTGCTTTATTATTCAAACAATTAATAAATAATTTTCTTCAAAAATCTAAAATATTAAAAAAAATAAGTTGAATCTTTAAGGTCTTTTCTTGTGCTCTCCTGCACTTTTTGCTTCTGGCCTTATGAAGAAGAAGTATAATGCAATGCTAACAAATTTTAAAAACACGCAGAATGTTAAGATTAAAAGTTCAATA